TAAGAGCCATAGGGTATCCTATGCCCAAGACCCACTTGCTGTTCCTGCTGTATCAGGTTGAGAGTGGCACAATACGCAGTGGTGGCTGCAAGGAGCCCAGTGACATGGTGGAAGGCAAGTACCTAAATGGAAGTGTTTCACTACCTCTTGGAACTCAATATTCTGCAGTTCTTGACAGTGAAATGAATAGATATGGGCAATACAGTACAAGATAGTATTATATAGACATAGTTCTGCAGAGCTCTTGAGGATACTTTACACTTCAGTTTGTTTGTAACAAACTGAAATCATCCTTTATAAGACCATAGTGAACCTATCAGTTTTAATTATTCTCAACTTATTAGAAATCATCTTTAAGAGAATGCATGGCCATATTGCAAACATATTGTTAGATTTCACCAGCATAGTGCATGGCAAATAGCTCCAGTAAGGAATTAACTTTAATGTTTTTCTGAACACATTAGGACATAGTTTTATTGTCCTGATATCCAAAACTCCATTGTGTCATGCTCACACTGCAAGGATGGACTACTAAATTAGGAGGCTGCCAGCTGCAAGAGAAATAGCATCTGTCTTTCCAATGAGTGGGAGCAAACATGGCTAAAAAAATTACTACCATTTGTTTTGGGTAACTGTCATTCAAAACGGAAAGGAAATGAAAAACCTCAGAACTTTGTCTGCTCAGTGTTCATCATGACCTATGCAGCCAGAGACTGATTTCCTACCAGAAGCAAATAGAAGGCCTGAAGTTAAGTGCCAGTAATGGCATTTACTGCCATTTCCTTCAGCATAAAATGAAAAAGCATCATTTGACAAGCAGTCTTGCTCTGTCATATTGATTTTGATGGAACTAATAGGCCTGGAAAGTCAAATGTGTTAGCATGACAATTCCTGTGTGAATCTCTAAACAAATCAAAGCTTTGATTCAGAGCGCTTTGAGAAGAGAGCTTCTACCTAAAACAATCATTAAAGTAAGATTAATCTTATTAGCGCTATAGAAAAGGAAATGGGCATTTTTTCTTCACTGTAAGGCTCAGACAACACACTTCATTTTAACACTTTAAATGCTTCATTTTTAAGCACTTATCTACACCTTAGGTAATAAAGAAACTTTCAGTCTTCTCAGGTTTCATATCCACTCTGTCATCCATAGTCAAGGAATAGCATTTTAAGTGATCAGCTTGATTTCTTTTCTGATCAGGTAGGACTGAATTATAACTTTTCCCAAGAAAAACATGAAGCACAAAAGCTACATTTCAATTACTTATATTAGGTTAATGGAATTTTAAAGAGTCCTTTTCCATAGTCCAGATGATTTGCATACACTGACCTATCTGGTCTGCAGGTATGTTGTTTCATCAAAATCAAAACATTTCATTTGCTTGGAACCGAATTTCAAATAACTATTCCATTGCAACAAAAATACTGTGTTCACTCACTCATTTGAAGCATCTTATTAAGTAGTGCTTAATGAGTGTGTTACTGTCTAATGGTGTTGCAGATGATATAACAAACAAAATGTTCTAAACATTATTCAACAATTGTAAGCAGCCATAGTATTTACAGTCATGCTACCTTAGGGCTATCATAAGACTTCTCTCCTAAAACAATTTCAGGCTGGTATATAACTGAATAGAAGATTTCTAGGGAGAAACAAAAAAATATGAAATTGTTAGTGACTCAGCAGCTGATCTTCTTCCTTTTGAGACTACCAAAAAAAAAAAAGCCAATGCAGACCACATGGGTCATGGTGCTTTCTAATGTGTTCTCCCTAAAGTAACGTCTGTCTTGCAGCAGGTATTCACTGTACAATAAACTATGCTAATTAGAAAGAGATGCAAGGAAGGCAAGAGAAAAAAATCCAAGAAAGCCAGGGTGTACAATGAGGGGAGGGGGGCAGAAAAAGCATGTTCAAGCCCCTCTAATCTTAAGTGATTTTTTAACATTGCAAGTGAGGGGCAGAATTTATTCAAGCCCCTTTCCCAAAACACTCATTTTAAGGCCACACTTTATAGAGGAAAAGAGATAGAAAAGAGCAAATATTTGAGGTAAAATTTTAATCTCATAAAAAGATCAAAGATTTGGATAGAGGGAGCATTCTCCCTAAAATTAAGAAAACCCCAGTACTGGGAAAGAAACTGTATCCAGAGGCCTCTGTTCTGATCACTGCCAATGGCTCCTTAAGCCTTATTTGTGTTTCTTAAAGTTAATATGCACCTGCTAGTTCACCTAGTTATATTCACCTAGTTAGTATGCACTCAGCAAAATATTTTGTCTGGCAGTCAGAGGAAATGAAAGTGTACATGTGTTATCATACACATGTAATCAGTTTCCTGCAAATATAGAAGGCTAATACAGTTTTTTCCCTTAAGTTTAAAAAAGTCAGAGGAAGGAAAAGGAGGAGTTGAACATAGAAGTGGTGTTAGCAACATTCATAATCCATTTTGCCATGGAAACTGCTGCACTGTGGAATCCGTCTGCATGGGAGCACTGGTTGCTAAGGAAAGGGAAGTAGAAGTAGACAGCTGTTAGGAAGCTATCAGAGCAACTCCTAAATGGTAGTGATAGGAGGGTGATTAGCTCCCACATCCTCTTCCTTCATTATCATTAAATCATGGCTTATTGTTAACATGTTGTTCTTTGATGGTAAGCGATTGCTGTAATTTTCTTACTTAAAATCTGAGACATTAGTTTAAAGTGTGTAAAAATAATAAAAAAAGCCACAGATACTGTGCTTGAATAATATCCCTCACTTCAATAGCTTGTGCCACTTTGTTTACCTACTAAAATATGCCCTTGAAGATTAAGTATATACACTTAGCATGCGACAGCTGCCAAGTCAAGGGAAATGTTTCCCAATAAAACTGTCACAGAGTTTACCTTGGGAACTGTGCAGAGGAGAACCAAAGCAGAACTCAGGCTATACATCCCAAGCCTACTCACCTGCTAATTAGCCCCTGGACATCCTTCCTTTACAGGTCTTAAAGTTCTCAACTATCTAGAACTGTATTTCTGTTAGTGCCAATGACTCCTGCAGTCTTGAGTAGCAGGACACTGTGTTTAACCTTAATAAACACCCAGAAAAAGGCTGTTCTTCCTCTAATGGGCATTTTTTTCCAGTCTGTTGGAAGTTTCTAGGACATTCCCATGACCCAAGCTCCTTAAATTATGCAGTTGCAAGTCTTTTTTTTTTTTTTTTTTGGGGGGGGGGGGGGAGGCAGAAGCAGAGATTTTTCCTCATTCCTAATTCCAAATGCTTCAGAGATCTTACCTGAGCCGGGTAGGACAGGCAAGTTCCAAACTGATCCCCAGTAGGGTTTACTCAACTCTGTTGAACACATGCCATTGCACAGTAATACATTCCAGTTTCTGTAAGTTACAGAACTCTGCTCTGATAAATGTAAATGCTTAAAACCAAGGTTATGTTTTTGCTTCCTAATCAAAGGAAGCAAAAAATGCAACTCCCTTTCTACAAGAAACAGTACAACAAACCACACCAAATCTAAGTGACTAACTAAAATTAACTGATCCCAATAAGCGAGTCAGAGGGTCTTTTATGAACTGCTTACCCTACCCTACAGGCTAATAATACCTGAACTTCAGATAAGTAAGCAAGCTCAGGTAAGTAAGCAAGCACAAAAAAGCTATATATTTTCTTCAGATATCACCCTTTCTGAACCCAGAATGGAATTGTCCTCCAATTACATAGAAGTACAGAAATATGCAGTATTAGACAACTACTTAGGGGAAGTGAGAGTATGATTAATACTAAACTATGAGTTATTTCAGCAACGGCTTCACATTTAAGAAGGGAACAACTAAAGGCAGGAAAAAATACAACAACATATCTAAGAACAAATAATTGAAGTATAGATAGTCAGTGAAAGAGAAAAGACTGAGAAGTACTCAAATAAAGGTCAAATATACTTAAGGACAGAAAGATATGTGCAAGTTTGCAACACTTATGGTATACAAAGAAAGTGAAAGCTGAGGAAGGAATTAAGTTTTACAATGATGCCACTATATTCTTTAGCAAAGGACAGCAGCAGTTCAAGCTGGAAACTGAACTCTCAAGAAGGTACAGAGAGCATGCTAGGGTAAAGTGAAAGATGGTTCATTGCTGGAAGAGAACTGGGACTGGTGAGGCAGATCCAGCTGCTTGGATATGGCAGGGAGTTCAGTGAAAACGGACCTAGCGTTGCACCCAGATCTTAGGGCAAGCAGTACAGCCACACAACTCTGGAATGAACTAAGTTTATTCTGTGTAATTAACAAACTGCTGCAGGGACTGCAGGTGTGTTCTCCCTTCCAGCTTGACGACTACTGCATAAGTAGCACTCACCCTGAATGGAGAGACAGAGACATGAAATGCATCCTGAAGACATGAAGTTGAAGTGGGGAAGTCATTACTGTTGCTTTAGTATAATCAGGAAGAGTAGTTATTTTCTGCACAACATAGCACTATAATGTTGCCTTCATGTCTCAATATTTCATTGAGACAACAACAATGAAGTCCAGAGAGGGTGATGTTTCTTCGGTGTATGACTATTGAATTAGAAGTGAACACAACAAGCAAACACTTAACTGAGACACAAACAAGGTAGAAAGAGTCATTAAAATGGCAATTTAACAGGAGGGGAGTTAAAATGAGAAGGTGAGTTAGCCTAAATATCAAGGAGATCTTCCTGGCAAAGATACAGGTAGTAGAATCTTCTTCCAATTCAAAGATCAAAAACATAGATGCTTCTGACTTTACAATACAGAGTGTCCAAGTACTATGAAAAGGATTCTACATGGAAAGGGGATGGACTAGATAAGTTGTTTTTTGTTTAACTTTTTATTACTATTCATTCAAATCTGAGTGAGCTTTTGGCTGAACACTTTATATGCTCCTCCAGTTATGCAGGAAAAAACCCACCACAAATGATTAGTCATTTTGAAGAGTTATCATTTATTATCTTTCATACTCAATTCTAATACTTCCTTTTATATTTCAGGGTGCAAGTTGAATTTTATATGAATGAAAATACATTTAAAGAGAGACTGAAGCTCTTCTTCATCAAAAACCAAAGATCAAGTAAGCAGTTGGGTTCCATTAAGCATAATTATGATACTTTGGGTTGAATCCAATCCCATTAGAGACAATAGCAAATTTCTCACTAGTTGTCTGCTGAGCTAAAATTTTAGCCAATAGGAGTCAGTTTTACAGCATTAAATAGCACATTAAATATTTTTTAAAAAACTTGAAAAAGTATCATTTAAACTTAGTTTTTTTTAATATAGTTATGTGATTTTACTTTATGGTGATCGAGTTCACTTATTTGCATGGATCTGACAAGTCATGACTTTGTCCAAGAAAGCAAAGCTCCAAGATATTGAAGAAAATCTACAGAAATATCTAGTTCTTGAAACATTTATTTTTTATTAAGTATTCCTAATTACACTTCAAAGCTGTATCTGTACTGCAAAACAAGCAAAAGTTTGGAAAGGAAACTCAAGGGGGAGGCATAACACATTTGGGAAGATTGAGAAGTAGGTATCTCAGTTAGAAATGCATTCCTTGCCTTTTAGTCCGATTTGACAATGCAGCTACATTGACATATGCACTAATTCATTGGCCATCATAGAAGAGAATAATGTGGAGGAACTAAAGCATTTATCATTATATATAAAATATTTATGTATGTATCTCCAAGTAACTGGCACAAAGGAGATGAAAACAGTAGTTGTCTGCATGTTATAAAATCTTGATTAGATGAGTTGAGAGCTGAGGAAATTCATTTTACTTCCTGTTCTTCTGTACAGAAGATTGATTTTATGTCCATTCACCCTATAAAGAAGGGAAGTTACAATTGCTTTATACATTAAGCTTCTCTAGAAGTATGCATTTTAGCCTTCATAATACAGTTAAGATGAGCCCCTGGTTTTGTGTCTGGGAAAAGACAGAAAGGGGTAAGGAGAAAGATTCCTTTCTCAGTGTACAATTTGAGCATAAGTCCCAATCCAAAAAGCATGGAGAGTAGATTGAGTTTTTAAAAATAAGACAGACCACAAGATCTTTTATCTTTAATAGCTAATATTATAGAAATTAGTTTTACATCACAGGACAAGATTTTTTTTTTTTTTATTAGTTAAGCTATTTTTAACTTCCCAAGTATGAAAGAGATGAGCAAGTTTAAATGTTTACATTCAAAGTGTCATTGTTAATGTAGTATGACTTCTCAACTAGTTTTTGTTCTCCTCTACTTTTCTCCATATGAACATATGCTTCTCTTCAAGTACTTTATACCTCTAATCTTCAGCCTTTGAGATAATTGACATATCGTGTAAGGGACAAAAGAAAAGCATGGTCCTGAACTGGAAAAGGGGTATTACTCCAGCTAGAAAGGCAGTCTTGGAAGTTAGTTGTAAGAGTAAATAGCCTTCCATTTGTCCCTGCACTGTGCTACAAAACAGCAGTTTGATGCACTCTTGTTTACTTACTAAGAACATAAAGTCATGACCCAACTCATTGTAAATCTCTTTTCAAGGATAAGATAGAAGAGTTCTGAACATTACCTAATTGCTTGAGATAAGGCAAGAACGTACTCTCTTTTTCAGTTAATATGCAAGTCTATGGGGAAATAGATATCTCCCTATATACATATATAATCCACACACATACTTTGGTGACAGAATTAAAGACCATACATCTAGAAATAGATACCTTTCTGATTATTAGCACAAAATTAAAGCATAAGCTAGTTAATTAGTATGAATTCATGGCCATTCCTGTGTGAAGTGCTTACCCCTCTGACTAAGCACATTAAGAGAATCGTAAGTTACCATACTGGGGCATCTCTAAGTTAGGATTAGGTAAGCATGATGTATTGGTCCAAGGGAGAGGAATTACTTGGATGTTTATTTGATATAGGCAAGAGTGGGAAACAACTGTTAATTCATGCTACTGCAGATGAATTAATACTATAAACAAGAAATACACTGGAGTTCTCCTACTCAGTGTGCTTGATGGTTGCTGGAGAAATTAAGTTCTGATTAATCCTCCTATGTAGTGATATAATATAGAAATGAGGTAAACTTAAGGTAGAAGTGTACTGTGTTAGTAATTAAAACAGCCAAAAACCCACTAGTGAGCTCTTCCTGTAGCTAGTTAGTAGAGATACTTTCATTGCAAGTACCTTTCTTCCTAAGAGGCCCACAGGAGAGAAAAAGCTCTAAGAGATAAGGCATGTTTTCTCCACTGTTGAATTAAGTAGCTTGTTCATGGAAAGTAAACTTGAGAATGGGGGCAATTACTGTACTTACAGTAGCATATGCCATAGGTACGCCATGCCTCACCAGGATCCCACAGGGTATACAAGCACTGCTGCTTCTTTTGATATACACAGTATAAGGAGCAGCTCAACATGTTGAACAAAGCAATTTTCAGTAGAAGCAATTGGAAAAATACAGCAACACTTCTACTCTACTGAATGAGGACAATTAAAAAGCCCCACATCACACGCAATATACAAAATTAGGAAGTTTAGCCAAACCCTCTTACTGTTCCTTAGGATCTTGGTTCTTACTCAAATACTCAAAACCAAAATGCCTCCAAAATATCCTTTATCTCAAAACACAAAAACACCACAAAGCAACAACAAAACCTGCATATGGAATAGTACCTGCCACTCATTCCAGTGTACTTTATATGGAAATTGGAGGATTTTGTCACACTGAGGCTTCAACAAGCTGAAAAGAAAAGATTGCCCTCTAAATCTTGGGTGGTCGTCCGCAAGACCACAGAAAAAATACCTTCACATATTACAAGTCTACCTCCTATCATTGCTGAAACTACTCACAATTATTTTCTCACTCTTTCAGATATCTATAGTGTGATATATACTATTTGCCAAACAGTTTTTAAACCAACTCTTAAGACTTCACGAGCGGGCTTACATAATCAGAATTAGAAGCAATAGTATGTGGTCTTGTCAATCAGAACAGCCAACTCTGGCATTTAGATGTTTTCTACAGAATAGTAAATTCTAATCTAAATAATATACAGACTTTAGCATGAGATATCATGCATTTCAGTCATTATTCCAGTTTTGAAGTAATTTTTTAAATGGACAAAACAAGCCTTCATCTCGGTCTAATGTCAGCCTAGCTTCCAACCAGTGTTTTGCCAAGCAAACGTATATTCAAGACAGTTTACAATGCATCTAAAACATTTCACAAAGGCGTCAGCCAGCTACAGAGAAGTGACGACATGTTAGTATGACTTGCTTGTACTTGCCAAGCTGACAACACTACATTATCACAACTTAAAATAAGTCTCAGATGGAAAAATAAGTGAAGTTCCAATTCAGTGGAGAAAGAATAAATGAAATAACCATCTCCAGAATATGAATTATTAACCATATGTTTTGATCCAACTTCTAAAGCCAACTGCTACTGAGATGATTTTGCCAAAAGACAAAATATGTTAAAGACTTACTAGAAACTTTTTAATCGTGTCTATTCCAACTCTTTCAGTAACTATGGTGGTTGTAAGGGAAGAAGAGGGAAAAAGGCACAGCTGACAGAGATATAACTGAAAGGAATAACAGAAGGTAATAGCAAAGTCTTCATCTGCTGTCCCCTCTCAGTTTGAATCAGACCAGCTCTCTAAATTGGAGGATTAATCTCTAAAATGCTCATAAAGGAAGCAGCAAGAATTTGTAGTACAAGTGAAGGTCACAAGCAGTGCTGATGAAGTTAGATGCATCACTTTATACATAAGAGTACCTGAAAAAAAAAGCAGACACTTGTTCAAACCTGATAAGGAAACATTAACATTTGATGTAGTTATATTTATTTCATGAAACAAACAGATTTTGAACTGTTTATATCAATTTTTCTTTTAAAAAAGACAAAAGATGTAATGTCATGGTTACAGGGGCACAATGAAATTATAATCTTATTAAACAGTGTATAACTGGGTAACAGGGTATGATTGATGTAACCAAATAGAAGTCTCAGGCACTAAAGTCAAAGTATAGGTAGAGACATTCTGTGCAAATGCCCATGCTACTTGAACAATCTCCCTGTGTAAGGGGAAAAAAAGAAGTCAAGTCAAACAAACCATGTTGATACACCAACAGCATGTCAAATAGAGGACAAAAAAAAAAGTCAACTACCAAATAAAAATACTTGGTTTTTAAGAAAGTTAAAACTATTTTAAAATTGCAGCATTCTCTGGCATCTACCCTGTCTCCTTCCCCCATTTGAAATCCTACCACCCCACAGTGGTGAAAGAAATGCAGTTCTTCCAACTCACAGATGACACGCCTGAGTCTATAGAATATTTTGACCAGTAAGAATACTTAATTAGTGGTCCTATGTTAGTTATTCTAGCTTTAGCAGGGATGATTGAATATGCTCCCTGTGACAGCACATCCTATTTCTACTTCTGCATGTCTCAGCCATTAGAAGACATGATCTTCCAAAGCAAAAGAAACTTCTGTTCTTCCACATGGATATTTTAACTCCTGACACAATCACATGTTATAAGAGTACTGTCCAATTATTTTGTTATATATATAACCCCACCCATGATACACACAGTGTATCTGCCTGCTAAGTAAATCCTCTAGATGAGGTAATATCTCTATTAAAACCCTGCTTGGACTTCTGTAGTACCTAGCCATTCCTGTTCAGATATTCAGGCCCTGAAGTACTTTTATGCATAGCCAGGAATAGATCTGAGCAACTTTACTGAATACTCCAGTAGCTCTAGATTTTTCAGGACTGAGACTTCAGAGTTAAGAAGTTAATACAAGAGCCAGGAACATGGCTCCCCTGCCTTGATTTAGCTTTTATCAGAAAAGCATCATTTCCTACTGGCATTTAACCAACATGTAATTTCAAAAGATTATTAGAAGCTGATCTGTTATCAATATAGTAATGTTTGATAACAAGATTGACATTTACAGAGATAAAGCCAGGATGCAGATAAGACTTTTGCACTTGCTTAACAGTTAGACAAGATGGAATTGGTGGGGAAAAGGTGTCTTGTTTTTGTCTCCCCTCCCCCATCATCTGTTCCTCTTATTATAATAGTTTAGTTGGTATGGCAACCATTCATACTTCAGCAGGCTTCTACAAAGGGTTAGTACAGACAAGCAATTCATGCTTTCTTCAGCAACATTTCAAAAAAAAGCAGTAAGAAGGATTATAGCAGAGTCCAAGGAAAGCAGTGAAGTTCTTCCTATTCAAAGAATTGCATAACAGTATATTTACCTACCTTCCACAGCCTCTAGATGCACTCACTCCCTCAATCCCTTCACTCTGCTTTGGGGGGAATAAATACTCTGTGGCTAATTCAGCTTGATAAGACAGCTGGAATCTCTAGGTTAATGTTCACAAACCTAATTGCCATTAACAGCTGTGGAACTTCTCATAGTTGGAACCAAAGCACTGGATTTAACCCCTAATTTACAGGTGACAAGATGCTATAAAGGTCCCTCCAGTTCTCATATAACTGCCACATCACAGTAGTTGTAAACAATGTTATATAATAAACCTTAAATTTTTGTTTACTGATTGCATGTTAGAACTTTTAAGGAACTTTCTATATTTTTCTATGATTGCCGTAGGTTGTATTTTAATGGGATGGGAGCTAGATGACATAAAGGGTAATTTTTCAGCTGTATTTATATTGCATTATTGTAAGCTTAAGGCTGAGTAAGGTGGAGAAGTATGTAACACCTTAGGATAATTACGGTTATTTCCTTAAAAGTGAACGTATTCACAGAGCTTTGGGTAAGCATAATGAGGCTCTAGTTCTAGAAGTTTTTTTTTTTTTCTAAACCTGAGAAAAAAATTCTTTACTGTGAGGGTGACAGAGCATTGGAACAGGTTGCCCAGAGAGGTAGTGGAATCTCCTTCGCTGGAGATATTCAAAACCCGTCTGGATGTGATCCTGAGAAATATGCTCTAGAGGTCCCTGCTTGAGCAGGGAGGTTGGACTAGATGATCTCCAGAGGTCCCTTCCAACCTCAACCATTCTGTGATTCCTCAAACCATAGAACTAATTATGTTGAGCTCAATGGGCCTACTAATATACTTGCAACACAGTACTGAAAGATACTACCTACCTGTGGCGGGTGCAAATGAAATCATATCTGTGTGAGGCTCAGTCAATGGTAGTCTGCTTTGGATACAAGGCTTCAGCTGCACGAAACTGGACTCTTGATTTAGAGGTCTGAAGAATAATAATGCTTGAAAATGAAGTTGCCTTCTGCCAGTTGACCTTAGTCAACAGTTTGGACTTAAACCCTGAGTAAAAGCTTTTAAAGCCAGGCGTTAGATACAGATATTTACACAGGTGAATCTTTAAGACTATTGCTTTTAACAGCAAGACTGAAGATTTAAACTAATCCTGTAATGACTCCAAAATCTGATTAAAGTACAGTTAAGTTGCATTGCTGTAGACAATGGCTCCATTAACTTCAGTTAGCACTGAATTAAATTGCTTGTTTTAGAACCAAGTGTCCATGTGGATCCATTTGAAGGAATCCTGTCTTTGTGCAGACTTTTAGGATTTAGACCTATATTTGTGGGAAATGCTATAATTTGGGATAGTATTTGAGGCCTGTCTAGAATATTTCAATGTTCCCATGGTCCATAGAACAAATTGTTCATTCAGTGTTCAAATTGTTTATTTGGCATGATTTTCAGACGTCCTGATTATTGGACACTTAATTATGCAACTTCAACATTAAATAATAACAGTTCAATATTTTATAAATTGGGATAGTATTAATATATTCTATATGAAAAGCTACTGCATGAAGACTTCCAGATACTAATATCTGAATACTTGCCATTGTATATCCTCTACCTATAGTTTAAAGTGTATCTTCTTTATGTCATTGTATTTTGCATCTCAAATAACCATATATAGTTTTAGTTCCCCTTTCAAAAAAGAACTTGTAAAGCTACAAAAGGTCCAAATAATGGCATCAGCAAAGATGAATAGCATAGAATGGCCTTCAAGAAAAAGACTGAGTAGATCTTCACATTTAAAAAACAGACAGACTCTTGATCGATCCAGAGATTTCTGGGACCTGAGAAGGTATATTATATGCCTAGCTGATAGGCTTATTTTTGTGCTCTTTCCTGTGATATGCCAATGGCAAATACTGGAGACAGGTTACTGGTCTAGACAGACCTTTTCTATGATGCAGCACAGCTGTTCTAGTTCCTTTTAAATAGTTTTACATTAAAATTGAGTGAAACTATAAGGAACCTGATTTTTTTTTGTATTTTCTTTTCTTTTTAAAATAGGTCTAAGAATACGATTATTCAATTTTTCTCTCAAGCTACTAAGCTGTTTCTTATACATAATTCGTGTGCTCCTGGATGATCCTACGCAAGGACATGCATGGTAATGTTTTATTTGTTATTTGTCCTCTCAAAATATGGCTTAACTTATATGAAATAAACGAACTATATAAATAGATGTTTGATATTCCACAAACAGGGATTTTAGTTTTATGTCTTACAGATGTTCTGAATGAATTACAAAGCTAGTCTTATATTTTGAATGGAAATCATAAAGTTGTGCAATGAAAAAGTAACAACAATTTCTTTTTACTTCACTATTAAAACCATCTTGGCTATTTGTTCAGATACTGTGCATCTGATATAGCTGTGCAAAAATGTGTATCTTTTGGTTGTATTACTACAAAACATTTCTGTGTGTCATATTTATATTTATATTTAAAAAATAAAATTATAAACATCTGGTTGCCAGTTTGTGCAGCAATAATTTTAGGAGCTGAACAGAACAGTGACTGGTAGATGAAAAGCAGGGAGAACTGAGCCATGGAAAAATGGTCAGATAAGTTGTTTTGGAAGTAATAATGAATGGTTTCCCAGAGAATATATCTACCACACCGCTACTCTAAGTTTTGTAGTTGTAAAGTGTACGACGAGCTATGTATAGTTAGTGTCCACACCAGCTGTAATGCCTCAAAGCTATTAAGGAGCATCAATCTTTCTCTTGGGCATGAAACAGACCTAGATGGCAACTTCCTTCTGCTGCCTCTAAAGAATATATCCACTGAGTCTTCCACTGAGTAGCAGTTTATCAAGCATCCTGTCAAAGAACATGTACACTGCTCAGCAGTATTTTTCAGGTGCCTAAATACATGGCCCTTGCAATGTAATTTGTAAGTGCCTTTGGAAGATGTTGTATCATATATGGTTCTGAATGATCAACGCCACAAATATTACAATTTTGCAGTTTTACTTAAAACCCCATATCCTGGAGACAAGCAGATGAATACATGAAACTGCTTTTTTGCTTTTTAACTGTTCTGTTCTTAAATTGGTGTCAGTAGATAATAGTTGCAAATAAAATGACCACACTCCAGTATTTCCTCTTCTAGACTCCCCAAGAGCTCTAGCTTACCTTTATCGTCCATTACACATATTACATTTCATTGCCTAGACTGAAAGTAAATGAAAGGGCTGCTGTTTGTGCCTTAACCCTGCAGCTTGCCAGTACCGTCCTGGTGGACACAGCTGCCTTTCACATCTGTGGGCTGAGCAGTATATATTTGCATTCCCTAAACAGTTTCAGTCAAAATGAGTTTGCCAAAACCTAGTTTTAATATGTTTGAATAGAATACAGCAATTGAATAGGGTCCTTGTTAGTGACACATTGCAAAGATCACAGTGACAGCCTGGGGCATGGATATATATTCTCAACAGTCCTGTGCAGTCCTCATCAGGTCCTGGTGATTGTTCTTGCCACTAGTATGTCCACTATTAAGCAATGTAGTTGATCATCCTCTCTCTGTTTTATTTTAGAATATATGCTGTCAGTGGGATGTTGTACATAGATTGTAGTGACTGGTATAAGTTGATTTTAACCTTCAGGAACACTTTCCACAAGATTCTTCAGGCTGCTACTTTTAATAGTTTGACTAGAAAAAAAAAATCAAAACAAATTGTCATGAAACAATATTACAATGCAGGGTTTTAAACCTGGTATTATTTGCCATTCCTCAGTGAGGAGCACACAAATTCAGGATTGGAAAAGATATGTAATGTGAAACCGGGGAGATGTTTAAGACATTGAGAAGTGTGCATAGGGAGCAATACTTTGTAATATTGTGTAACAGTACAAAACAGCTGTATTAATTCACATTCAGTTTATTATAAATAGAGCTGCTTCAAAAAAATCTCAAATCGAAAAACTGAAATGGATCTATATTTAAAAAAATGTGGCTACTAAAACATCACCAAGGGATTTTGTACAAATTGAAACAATGATCTTGTTATTCTGTTTGTGAATAAACGATCCATTTGGTGTCAAAGCTTCCAGCACAATTGCATAGCAGAAAGTTAAATTGGACTTCATGGATTTAATTTAAAGTAATGCAATTTTCTAGTGGAAAAGAAACATATAGTTCAGATGTTTTTGCAGCTAGTGATGGTTTCTGGCATGAAGAAGCTGCTGATATTGTTTTGTAATAAGAACTCTTAATAAAGAAGTTAGCCTAAATGAGCGTATTATAAGGCAAATTTATGTCCGGACAGGTACAGCATATTAAAAAGTCAGAAGCATAAAAGATGTAAGCACTTCTATTGCTGGCAGGTGTACTTTGATACTTTTGTATTCACATGTAAAGATTTTTCTGCATCTTGCAGACTGCTTAATTCCCCAGGCCTTTCCTGAAGTATTTGTTCTTGGAAACTAAATTTTTAATAATTAACCAGCCAGAGCGTGTAGTTATCTTTTCTCTATGTTTTATTCTATTATGCTGTGTTTTAGTGTTTTAGTACATTTAACGGACTAGTTAGTTTGTTCTCTGTATAACATTTGTCTGCCTGAGAAATTTCAAATAAGTCACATCTGCATCTGCATGTGCCCAAAGATCCCAATTTTAACAGCTGTGCCAGAGAAACAAATCCCATGCCCAAATGGTACCCCATTAATGTCAGTGGCTTTGTCCATATAGATCCTCAGGGCTTGAGAACTAAGCTACTTCTGTAATGCATTCTTACGAATGCTGTGTTACAAGAAGATCCTCTCTAGACACTGTCACAGCCTAATAAAAGAAAATACTCCATGTGCTCATAGAGTAGCCACAGAAAATGTTATCACCCAGTTGTTTCTAAAGTGACAATTCTGGGAGGAATATTTTTCATCACAGACTCACCTCCATGAATTTATTGCCTATCTTTCAGAAATGCCATGCAAGTTAGTATCTTTCATTTACTCCTCAGGTACCGCAGGAGTATAGGTGAGTTTAAGACATAAAGCATCCTTATTAGTGGATACCATTTAGGATCTATCCCACTCTCGTAGTTGGTAAAAATACAGCTATTATTAATCTGTGGTCCAGAAATTCCTTTCTCCTGATCTTGCTTGCCAGGTACAAACAATGATATTTTCCATCATTTACATAAACGTATTCCCACCTCCTTATATGACCATTTAAAGGGAGGATTAGTACCAGCAATTCAAGGCAAGATCATATCACATGTACATAGCAGCTATTTTTTTAAATAGATGCCAACAGTTTCTCACTTGAATTACTAAGGCTGCATGAATCCCTAACCCTCCTCACATGAGGATATGTAAACTGTAGTTTGGTGCAAGCTTTCCTGTTGAGAGTATAGCAATTATAGGTATATGTGCTCTTTCTATCCCAACCTGTCTGTGTGATAGGATTTCTAGTATCTCTGTATCTCTAATATTTGTTATATACTTGGTTCAGCTTCAAAATATATTTTAAGTTATTTTGTTTTTAAATCAGATCTTGTTTGTAAAGAAATCTTTTAAAAACGTAACCTGAAATGCTTTGTAGTTCTTTATCTAAACACATACAGAACTAGTTTCTTAAAATTATTTTTTTGACTGTCTATATCCATTGACTAATATTTCAAAATATTGAATGTATAAAGTATTTTATAGAACAGTTTTAATCATCCAATTAATGTCCCTTCCCCACTCCATATTCTTCTATGATGGTGTTCCCATATCCATTCGCTAATGGAAATGGTCTTTGCATGGATATATTGGCAACCATCAGTAAGGAATTGAGCCGGGGTTGTTCCAGTCAAAACTACACACCTGGAATGATTGATTGGTGAGTTCCTAATTTAAAAAAGGCAAACCAAAAATCCACTTAGTGGTGGGAAGGGAGGGAAACTGGAAGACAAATCCTCTTCCAACAGGAATGTGACATTTGCAGACTCCATAGTTGTCAAGCAAATACTTGCAAATCCTACCACAAATAATTATTCCTCTGCAACTCTAGAATCAAAACCTCAAATTGAGAGTTTTTGCTTTCTTTCTAGAATCATGTGAAATGAACTAGCAGCCGATGAAGCCAATAAAATACTTTGGCATCACTGGGCATTAGATTACTCCCAAGGAAACTCATTAATTGGCTCTGGATTAGAAAGACAAACAGAATGTCAATACTAAGTAGATAACTACTGATTTTAAAATTTTATTACTGAGAACTGTTTTAAAAAATAAGGCTGCTCTAAATTCCATTGACATGTACAAAAGTTTTGCCCTTGGCTTTGGTCAGGACATTAACCAGATTTTGATTAATGTCACATTTATTTTCTCATTATAATGAACAGGTCTCCTATTATTTGGGTGAATCGAAGTTTGCCTTTATGGGGATTACAGGTAATGTATAAATGGGCAATTTTAACCCTTTCCATTTAGTAACCCTAGGCAATATAGATTTCTAGCATTTTAGAAATGTTAAAGGATAAATGGAAAAGGTGATATTAACAAAGAAATCTACTTGATGACTGAGTACAAAGAAAGCATAAACTAAACAAGATGTACTGACGTGGGCGTACCAATTTCAATTTATATGAGGCTAAATGCTTTATAAATATATTCATAAAGTATTGAAGATTATAATAGAATATTGTAGAATTAGGATAGCATTTTCTTTTAGTAGGGTTGTTGGGTTTACCCAATACTGCTGGGTTTAGTAGCCAGTATTTCCTATAACGGTTAGTTTAAATTTCGTAATTCCCTAAGATTAGCCTTTGTAATATGTTCCTGGGCTTTCACATTAAATCCACTAGAAAATTAAAATTACTTCATAATATAGAAGCCTGCATGTTTAGTGGAGTATATTACATAAAATGCTTTATCGGTCTCTGAATGCTTTTGAAGTATGTGGTTCAGTTTTCAATGTTGTGGAGCCTGCTCATCTAAGAGACCCTCTTTTTACTCATGGACAGTGCTGCAGTCAAGTGATGTTACTGCCCAGTGCAGAAATTCATTCATAATGGTCCTTTATTTCACTAAGGGATGAAAGATTACTTTTGGGATTATTGTGTTGGGAACTGGGGGAGGCGGAGACTGGTTTCATAACTGTTCCATAGCCTGGTCCATAGTAGTCTACCTTTGTTAACCTCAAAGGAATGTTTCAAGATTCATGTTTTTAATGGGCTTCTGAAAAAAAAGAAACTTCCCAAAGGATGTAGCATAAAGAGAAGGAAATTTACATACCGAAGCTGTATTATTATATTTTAGTAATTTTATTTCCTGGAGTACTGTTTTTTTGTTGTTTTATTTTCCTTTAAAAAACAGGCAGAACTACCTTGCTGCTGCTTTTGGAAATCCAGCTAGCCAGCTGACTGAGAATAATAGGACTTTCAAGTGCTCAGTGTCTCTTAAAATTGATCTAACGGTTATTAAAATTACATGATGAATGGTAGATATATAAAATACTGTTTTACATTAAGTACTCAATTTCTCCAGTACTTTAAAACCATTTGTGGGAATTCTCCCAGGAATTCTCCCTGTATTTTTCTATTAAGAATTCCTTAAGCTTCTAGAATAATTATAACATTATATTCTTGCACTGTGCTTAATGTATTGCCATTGTGGTGATTTCTACTTCTATGAAATATACTATTTTACTAATGAAATGCTCCCTTGATGAAAATACCTTTCAAATCCTCAGTTAAAATATGCATGGTTTGAATAAATAAAGTTTGACCTAGCCATCCAGATTACTGTATCCAATTTATTTTTAAAATACCAAGAGACTTAATAGCTTATGGTTACAGTCTTACATTAAAGCCTGTGCTTTATTCAGACAAATAAGAGTTTTTAGTCTTGGAGCTAAATGTTATTGGCTGAGATGGTTTCAGAGGATGCATGGAAAAGCTGTTTTTTTAATTATCTTTAACTTTTCAGTGTAATTGTTTATGTCATGTATTTTTTAGAGGCCAGTATTAACATACATATTATATCTCTTCACTGAAGGTTTCAGTGGCTTTAATAAGTCTGTTTGAAACAATGCTGCTGAGTTATCTAAGCTACAAGGTAAGCACTTTTAGTTGCCTGACTCACATCTTCACTATATCTAAAGCTATAAGGTGAGCCCAAGTCTTCTCTGGGCTGCTGTTCCTGTTTTCGAATTAGTACAATGCCTCCAAACATACATCTTCTCAGAGGCAGCACCTAACAAGAGAGAGATACTAAGAAAGTATCAGTCTTCTGAAATGCTCCTTAATAATACGAATACACATTCTAAGAGTAGGCCACAGAGAACTGTAGCAAAAATAGAGCACTTCCAATGAAATTCGTATAAAATAAAACACAAAAAATAAGGCATAATTTACCACAAAAAGTAACTGAAATAAATGTTTTGGTGCGTGAAAATTCAGGGGCCTACATTTGGGTCCACACTGGTGTACAAGCAGGAAGTTGAGAAAAACACATATCTAGAGGATGGCATATTGTCACAGGCAGCCCTGTTCTTGTTTCCCAAATTTATGAGAAAATGGTAAATAAATATCTAGAGAGTGGAAGCCAGAAATGCAGTTTCTGTTTTTCCGTTGTTTCCTGGCACATTGTCATCTGAAAACATTTTCTCAAAACTGACGTTTGGTTTTGGATACTGATTTTTCAAGTCCAGTTTTAAATTTATGTCTATGGAGTTATTATGCAATGGACACATAATTGTCATTGGTGTCAAAGCTATGGTTACTCAGTATCTATAACTCAAATTTCAGGCCTCTAAAACGACACCAAAAAACTAGGCTAAAACAGCCTTTTCTCCTGTATGAGTACCTGCTGAAATCCATCTCTGGTGGTACGGGAAGATCTTTGCAAAATGTCTTGAAATCTTCCAATAACAGTATGTGAATGCAATACATTTCTGTATTTTCTTTTTCCTTAAAAAGTTGTATTTTTGTAATATTTTTATTGGATTTTCTTCAGATAATGCATTCATTTTGTTAAGTCTAGTGAGTTTTGGGCAGCCTGCATTCTGAATATCTTCAGAAGAAAAAGTAACCTTATTTATCCAAGTAAATATGAAAAGAGTGGGTTTCCAAAGCAGACCATAAACTATTAAAAAAAAATTGGAATTACTTACATTCAGTAGTTATGAGAGCGACCGTTAAAGTTACAGAATTGTACTTTCCATTGTGCTTATCAGCATTTTATCTCTATCCAATGTGCTTGCAGCTTGCACAAATTTCAGTGGGTGTGCAAGATGAAAGTAATAGCAGCAAGTAATTCATCCCTTGATTAGTTAATGAACAATGGGTGCAAAGCTCTACTATCCTGATTTGCTGTACATATTTTTCACATAAGAAAATGACTACTGATGCTGTGGGACAAGGAAGTTCCATAACATGTAATCAAAGTTGAGCACTCTTGGAAATTATTTTTACATATAAGATAATATTCTGACATGACTGGCTAGTTAATTTTCATACAAGTAATAAAAATGATATAATTATCAGCTTCCTTGACATCGGAGATGTTACTAATTCTTCTGGTCTTATGTCCATAGGCTAGGAAATATCATCCTGACTATTAGTTGTAGTATTCCTGCGTTTCAGACCGACACAAGGAGAAAAAAATTGCCTCTACACTACCTTTGCATCTTACAAATTCAGGATCAAAACAGAAGCCAAACTGTTGAAGCAATTTTAGGATAGCTGTAATTTCTACTCTTCTCAAGGGAATAAGAATAATGTAAAGAAAAATAATAGTATTGAAATGCATTTTGGCAATCCACCTGATGCAAACACATCTCTCCCTCTGGTCCTGGCCCCATACTTAGAATCTGGAAACAATATCAACACAGAGCCATTACCCCAGTTTTACACCAGTCTTGGGAAGCCAAAAGGGCTAGTTATTTCACCCACTGTAAGGTCTTTCTTTCTGCACAGCCAGGGTGACCAAAGGAGTCTTGTTATAAATTTGAGACAGACTGCTTATTTCATGCCAACACTTCCAAAGCTTTTACAATTTTGACACAGGTGAGAGGACAAGCAGGAAGAAAACAAAAAGAAAAGATCATTGTGTTTATCACACAAATTGCAAGGATTTTACAGACAACCTCACGGGAAAATAAAATAAGCCATTTGAGAGAATACTCCAAGGAATTTACCTTTCTGATACTTGGCTGATGAGACATAAGAAATGATCTAACATGCAGAACAATGAGGAGATAATAGTGCATCATGCTATTAGGATATATTTAAATTAATTTGCATGTTTTGTTGCTTTTATATGGTGAGGGATGCAAGAACATAGTACTGTATTAAACAGCCGATCACTTGGATCCAAGAACTAATGTTTTACGAACTGTGTTCCAGATCGTAACACATGACATGAGGGTTTACACATGGCCAAAATCCTGGAAAAGACTATGTTCTGCATCAGAAATTTTCATTGCAAAAACTGTTGTCACAGACATTTGGCAATCCTACTGTGTCACCGGTGCACAGGCACTCTTATCTACTTCGATGACGCCATATGTTCGCACTGCAAGAGGCAGTTTTGCAGAAGTCATGATGTGCTTGTGTGTGGGGGCCAGAATGTTACAGCTGCAAGCATCACTAGATCACTGAAGCACGTCAGCACCATGCATTTTGCCTGCACAGATTAATAATGTGGGGCTTTTTCCATTCAGGGAGATGCTTTTATTCTACTAACAGAAAGATTGGATTTTGGCAACTGAAGTTGAATTTGTATATGAACATACAGAAACCTGCAGCATCAAAAGGCAAGCCTATCAATAAATTTTATAGTGTGGATTATGCCAAAAGAATTGGTTTGTGTTCCTTGATCCTGGCTCTGTTTTCTCTTTAGAGAGGAACACTACAAATACAATGAAACGTGAAACAATGAACATTCTTTTCCAGAACTCAGAAAAGAAGGCTCATACAGTAAAAATAAGGAAATTAGGAAAAAGACAGAATGGGTCAGTTGTTAGTAAATTAAAAATTTGAAAGTCAATTTTTCTTTTGATTTTATTATTTCTACCAATAAAACCTCAGTCTATAGTCTTATAATTTCATTTCTGTTTACAGGGCTTCTGGCATACAAAATATTTGAGATTACTGAAGTATGTCTAACTTGTGCCAATTACAATTAAGTGGGAGACATTAACTCCTGCCCAATAGCTACAACGGCTTCCAGATGTGAAAAGGAAAAAATAGAAGGATTTTATACACAATGTGGCTTCTGTTTAATTTCAGGGGCTATATCAGATGGATATTTTAACAAGAAGGATTAATTTATCATTGTAACTGAAATTTTGCTACTGTACTGCGAATTCTTACAATATTATCATGATATATGCTGCACTGTTATTGCATAACCTATGATGGATTCATGATATACAGAATTAGTAAAGCTAGAAGTCATTGAATTTTAAATATATTTTTTTTTAATGAATGGATTTTCATCTTAACATCTAACCGTTCACAGTCACAGCTCAGCTGTGGAAGAAAAGCAGTATTATCTCCATTCTGTAACTAGTGGTAAACAGGTTAAGAGATCCCTCCCGCTTTCATTAACATATGTTGGAAGACCCTTCATTTCAAGATAAGGTTCCAAAGAGCATGTACTCAAGTGTGTGTGGCAGAATTAAACTTTTAGTCCTAGTTCAAATATTAAACACTAGACTGTCTTCCTTCCTTTTCTCTCAAACTAGTTGTGAGGCAGAAGATTAAAAGTAAAAGAAGATAAATACA